ACAAACACAGCTTCCTCCCCCAAATCAGGAGAAATAGATCTGAACTCACCAAGTTTTGTTCACAGAGGCCATGGAATTGCTGGAACTTCTGTGACATTAGTAACTGTGCGCTGCCCACTGCACTGAGGACTTTTCCTAAGACTATGGGAAGAATAAGAGTCTCAGTTAAACAGATTGTTAAATGCAGTAAGATGTTTCCTAACAATTGTTTAATTGGATTACATTTGGTCTATGAATAAAGTTACCCTTTTCATTTTGTTTTAGGACAGTCACATTGATGATAGCTTACTATGATAAACAAGAAGCTGCTCCCTTGTCTCAGTATAAGGATTTCCCCTTGTTCTTCTGCCACCAGTCACCAGGACAACTGGGACCATTCTAGGGGGGCAGACAACAACATTTTCTGTTCAGAAGAAAGCTAGCTGAGGAAATGGCAAGTTGAGGAATTCTTGAAGATCTTAAACACCTTCCTTCCTCTGATTCATTAGGAAAGGACTTTCAGAGATTCCCACAGACCTAAATGCTGTCAGGGAAAGAAGCTTTACTCAAACCGCAGTCAGATGGCTTTCTCTGCCAGGAGAGCTACTGGCCTAGTAGGAGCTACTATTGCTCCTTCTAGGGCAGGCCAAGAGCAGGTCACAAGTAGACCAGCTGCACTGAGATCATTACATTAGAGCCTGAAGAAAGGCTGAGGGCCATCTAAGGTGCTATCAAACAAGCCACCAGCACAACCTCAGCAAAATGATCTACAGACACATGCTCACAGATCATAACTTGCTCTTCCACTCACATATAAGGCAAAGGCAGGAGATCTATCTCCAACCTCTGTTTACCAGAAGGAATTCAAGCATCAACAAGCTATGGCTTTTAGTGAGGATGTTTTTTAAAATCCAGGACTTCATGCTGTTCTCAGTGGGATCTCCAAGAAGCCTCTGGGTATGGCTACATTCCTCCACTCATTAATGGAAAACAGCACTGTATGGGTCTTCCCCTTCCAAAGGGGCACTGGGAGACCCACAGTGCATGCAAATGCATCATGAAGAGAGATGAATTAATGCCCCTCTCCCTCCCTAGCCTGCTGCTACATCTACTGAATTGATTTTGAGTGTCTACACTTAATTTGGCAAGTGTAAGCTGGGCTCTCCCCATACCCTCTAAATCCTCATTACGTAAGTTGCTAGGAAATTGCTCTTAATGCTACAGATAACGTCATGCTAGCCCCAGTGCGCAAGGCTGCAAGACAGCACTCTCGCCACAGGCGGAGCAAGGAGAACTTGATATATCCCATGCTGTGAAGCAGGAAGAGCCCTGGCACTGCCTATCCAGCTTTGCAGCCAGTACAGCATCTTAGTGCAACAGGGTTTGAGATTAGCTGCTCCCACCTCCCAGCAATGACAGTGAGCTACAACCGAGTCTTGCCGTCATTTCACCTTACCAACGCAAATCTAAACGGGCCCAAATTAAAGATCATGCCCTCTGCAACCAAGTACCTAAATTTCCACTGCGTGCACACCATATACACTCTTCACCACTAGAAGCAGAGTTTTTGTTGACAGGCCATCCCAGGGACTAACCCTGAACATAAGGCGATCTAATTGTATACCATGCATGTATTTTTGGTGTATTTAGCATGAATTAAATTAAGTTTGCCTATATGAAGAAGCCTCTTTGCTGCTGTGAGGACAAGTCCACAGATTCAACAGATCAAACAGGTTCAGAAGTTGGAGTTCCCTCTGCCTCACTATCCAATAAACTTTCATAAGCCAGCTTGAACATAACGGGATAGGCAGGAAGAAAGATCCCACTGCCTCCCTAAAAGCAATCTATTCAAGTCTTTAGACATCTCAACTGGTCAGAAGCTGCCATCATCCCCTAAACTCTTCCCTGCTGCATCTTAGTATTATTTCCTACCCTCGTTTGCAAGAAAAGGTTGAGGACACGCTCTACGGCTTCCTTCCCTTCCTTTTCAAGGACAAACTTTTCCTTGCTGCATACTCACTTCCATGTTCTACCCTATCCTGCAGGCTACCAGCAGTTTAATTGCAGAAAACTGATCCCAATATTCTGCTTCAATTCTTTCTTGAAGAAGGAGCTGCTAGGCTGCCCCAGCCTGGTGTCCAGAGGTTGGCAACGCCTACCTTCCTCAGAGAGATTGTTCTCTTTGGTCTCCTGGTCCATCTGACGGCACCATCCTTCCAACCGCTCTGTTTCTGCTTGCAGCAGCTTCAGAAACCAATGCCCATCTCGCCGGCAGGCTCCTGGCTGCGTGGGTTCTGATGGTGAGGTGGAAGAAGTCTCAAGCCAAGGGTCAGGAGGCGGAAGAGAGGAAGGCTCCAGGGCTGGGTCGCTGTTATCTCCATAGGAGAGGTTTCTCTTAATCTGTGAGGGCTTGGCTGGTTGCCTGATACTCGCATCAACACTAACAGAGTTGTTGTGTTGGGGGCACTCAGCAAGGCTTCTCTCAGATGATTTACAGCTAGAGTTATTAGGTTCTTGTGTGTCAGAGTCTGTGTCCTGTTTGGAGGACATGCTGCGAGAGTGGCTGTTTCTAAAGAGATCAAAAGCAAACATTAGATGGCAAAACTCAAGCTGGCTGCCTTCACATGCTACAATAAGATGTATTTGTTTATGATGTCTACAGCTGAGCCT